CGAAGAATTAGGAATGCGAAAGCTCTGCGCAAGATGGGTGCCGCATTTGCTGAATGCGGATCAAAAGCAAATGCGCAAACGACATTCGCAAGAATGTTTGGATCGATACAAGAGGCTCGGCCATCCCCCCTATTTTCCTGATTTGGCACCCTCGGACTTCCATCTCTTCCCAAACCTGAAGAAATTTGTTTCTGGAAAGCGCTTCGCGTCCAATGAAGAAGTTGAGAGGGCCGTAGATGAATATTTTAACAGTCTTCTAGAATCTCACTTGCGGGAAGGAATACTGATGTTGGAGAAACGCTGGACCAAGTGTGTTGAAGTCAAGGAAGATTATGTAGAAAAATAAAATCGCTTTTTAACTGAAAATCACAGTCTTTCATTGTCAGGCCAAGAACTTTTCACTTTGCCCTCGTATTTAGCGGAATAATAAATTATATTTCGTATGATACAAGTAATTCCACAAGTAAATTAAAAAACGGACATCACGTAACAATGGCACTTACTGGAATGCATTGGTACGAGTACTATGACTTAAAAAAAGAAAAAAATTACTTTTCACCGCAAAAAATAGCCACGTCACACATCATTATGTATGTAACATAAATAATATCGCGTCACATATGTTAGATATATTAAATGTTAAAACAAGAATTTAATTCAGTAAAATAAATATTATACCCTTAATATATTACGTTTTTTTTGTATCAAAAACTCTAGAACTCTTCGAGATACATTAAATGAGCTATTCAGAATTTGATTCCGATCTTGATGTTAGGTGTGAAGTTAGCACCCCATTTTTTATTGTTTTTTTTTTTAGTGTTAATCGCCGGAACTCTTTTTTATGAATATAAGAGTACTCCTATACTCTTCGAAAGAAAGCTAGAATTCTAATCAGAACTATCGAGAACTAAGGTTGGGGTGCTAACTTCACACGCTCCATCAAAAACTTGTAAAAGACTGTTCAGAATCTGTTTGCGCTGCAGATTTAGCTATCTAGGGACATAAGTCAAAGTTATTAAAATTTGTGACGTTGTATCTTATATACATAATTAATAGATCTATTTTATTGGAATTCGCTTTGTATTGTTTGACATTAATTTAAAAGTTATTATTTTTTCGCAACACTTAATAAAGTTTTCTATATGGCCCGGAAAATATAAAAGGAAATAAAATTAATACGAATATTAATTAACCCTTTGCACTCGAGGGCTCCGGAGCGGAGCCATTTAAAATTTGTCTTTAAACTCTTCAAACTCAAATGCAAATAGCAAGAGCGGAATATCCTATACACAATAGTTTTTACGATTTGTCTTTGTCCTTATGTTATGAACTGAAAGTTATTTGCATTGTCTCCATAGCGGAGCCCTCGAGTTTGAAGACAAATTTTAAATGTCTCCGCCCCGGAGCCCTCGAGTATTAAAAAGCTCAGTTTGATATGTAAGATGGTTACTAAATTGTAGCCCACGGACATTGAAAGTCTAAGAAGCACGTGCGTGCCACTGTCAGACAATTTTATCCTTCCATTATAATTTAAAATTATCGCGTCAAACATCTAGCGGTACAACTCTTATTGCCTACCCTTCTTATTAAAATTTATTTTCATAAAAATGAATTTAAAAAAAGTACGTCTTCTTCAAATTCATATACCAGATTGATTGATAAATCTTTAAAATGAAAATTAAAAAATCATTTTGTTAGCAAAACTCAACTTTATTCTTCAACATAATCTCCTTTTAGCTCAATACACCGAGTCCAACGAGTTTGTAGCTTCTTTAAACCTTCCAAATAATAACATGTTTCTAAACCACCGATATATGCATCTATTTCCCATTCAACCTCTTCATTTGAAGTAAATCTCTTTCTCTGGAGCCATTTTTGAGATTTGGAAACAGATAGGAGTCACACAGCGCCAGATCTGGAGAATACAGTGGATGTGGGAGCAATTCATATCTCAATTTGTTCAATTTTGCTATTGCTTTTACCGATTTGTGAGCTGGTGGATTATCTTGATGAACGAGAATTTTTTTCTTCGCTAAATGAGGCCGTTTTTTCTTGATTTCATTATTCAATCGGTCCAACAATAATACATAATATTCTCCTGTGATTGTTCTTTCCTTTTCCTCATAATTGATGAGGATTATTCTATGTGCATCCCAAAACACAGTAGCCAGAACCTTTCCAGCCGATTGTTGCGTCTTTGGTCGCTTCGGAGTACTTCCACCCTTTGGAACTCATTGTGCCGACTGTTGATTCGATTCAGATGTATAATAGTGGATCCATGTTTCATCAACGGTTATGTATCGCCGCAAAAATTCCTTTGATTTGTGCCTAAACATGTTCAAACAATGCTGAGAAGTGCGAACTCGTTCACGTTTTTGCTCGATTGTTAACAATCGTGGCATCCATCTTGCAGTTCGCTTTCTCATACTCAAATGTTCGTGTATATAGGATATTGAATACACGTTCAAATGAGATGTCCACAGCTAGTTCACGTAATTTTACTTTGGGGTCATCCAACAGGATATCTTGGATTTTTTCATTCATATTTGGTGTTGTTACCTCATTTGGCCGACCACTGCGTCGTGCATCCGATGTGCTGGTACGACCACATTTAAACTCAGCAATTCAGTTATATACAGTTGCATTCAACGGAGCAGACTCTCCCAAAGTTTTTTGGAAGACCTCAATCATTTCTTGCGGTTGCAAGCCTTTAAATAGATTATATAATTACTTAATCAAATACAAATACTTATATACGAATTTCAGTTTTTTTCCATTTTTACAAAATATCAGAGGTTATGTGTTTTTGGTGGCTGTCACAAATATACTGATTGTCATAGCTGTCTGCAACTGTATAGCGAAAGGTTTGAAGATTGACACTACTGGAAATTCACTGCATATTGGAGGTGGCAATATCACTAATGTGTCATTCTAAAGACTTAGTATCAATCAACCTGATATTACCTCAAAAAAGTAGTTTTGTATTTTGTTTAATACCAAAAAAATTCGAATATATCAATTCAAATGATACACTGTATATACATAACACACAAAATAATGGAAAAAAGCACTATGATGAACTATAATGGAAAATAATGGACAATAATGAAATATAACGAAAAAAGGTAATATAAAGTAATAGAAAAAATATTGAATATTTTAGTAATATCATATATATAAATATTATATAAAAAACACAAAGCTATCATTATATGAAATACGCAAAGAAAAATAAAACATAACAGCACTATACAGGGTGTCCCAGACCACCCGTCTAACCCGATTTTTTCGTAAACGCGACATTTTAAAGAAAAATGTTTCAGACAAAAGTTTTGTGACTTTGAGGGGCACATAAGATGGTGTCATTGGTTTGACCTTGGATAGTCGTTTGAAGATCACGTGAAGGTCACCTTTAATTTCTTAAATGGAAACCCCCATTTTTCAACGCATATTCTTGTAGCTTACTTCGAGAGCTTTCCAAAACGCTATAATGAAACGTTTTTTTAATCAGTACTTTTCGAGTTATGAGGGTTGAAAGTTACGGTACCGCCGGCATTAGCATTACCCAGTCGTGATGTATGACATGTCTGATACTGTCACGTAAGGTATAACAAAATTCTCATTTACCAGCCATGTCGTATTCAAACGCGGAAGCTTGTGATATGATACCTCTCTGTTCTCGATTACTATTTGTGGGGAAGACTAAAAGATCTGGTATACCGCGAACGCCCTACGACAAGAGATGATATGATTCGTAGAATACGTCTCGCTATTCGTTCTCTACATGTTGATGAAATTCTTCATGCAACAAATAATTTCGAGAAAAGAGTACTTGCTTGCATTGAAGCAAACGGTGGACATTTCGAACACCAGGCCTAATAACATCAGCCACACACACACACACACGCGCGCGCGCGTACAGCAGAGAGGGTTTGGAGTCGATAAATACTACGGGAGTGACGAACCGTGGGGTCCTTATCTCTGTGACACACACACATTCACACACACAAACACACAAACACACAAAGAGGTGTAAATCCGACCGTGCAACCTCCACCTTGGGTAATGCTAATGCCGGCGGTACCGTAACTTTCAACCCTCATAACTCGAAAAGTACTGATTTAAAAAACGTTTCATTATAGCGTTTTGGAAAGCTCTCGAAGTAAGCTACAAGAATATGCATTGAAAAATGGGGGTTTCCATTTAAGAAATTAAAGGTGACCTTCACGTGATCTTCAAACGACTATCCAAGGTCAAACCAATGACACCATCTTATGTGCCCCTCGAAGTCACAAAACTTTTGTCTGAAACATTTTTCTTTAAAATGCCGCGTTTACGAAAAAATCGGGTGAGACGGGTGGTCTGGAACACCCTGTATATGTATACAAATAAAATATATTGCAAAATAACGATAATTAATATGTAACTAGTATGGTTGTATGATTATTGATTATTATAATGAATTATATTTAAAATATGTTTTTTGCAACTAGTAATAATAATAATTTGTTATCGTATTATAAAATAATTGATAATAGACAGGAACGAACTCCGGCATCGGTCGCTCGCTGGGTTAAAAGCCGCGGATCTCGCTTATCGGATCGCCGGGTTCGTTAATAAAGGCTTGTGTGTTATGTTGAACCACAATAGCGTTTATTTGAAATTCGAAATGTTTTGAGATGACGTGGTTACAAGTATGCGTGTTTACAAGTTTATCGGCGATTCGCTTGGGCGAGAATATCGATGTGTACTAGAAGGTGATCTTTGTACAACATGGTGCGTGGCGCTCGCGAGGAGCGTGGCGCGCGGCGGGATCGCGGCTGTCGATCGCGGATTGATACGGGTAAGTTTGAAGGCGGAGCTTCTAACGCAAGAGACGGGGCGAACGCGGTTCGACGGGCTCGCGATAATGCGCGTAATAATGACGGGCTGTTCGGCGACAATTCGGCGATGCGTCACAGATCGCTATCGGTTGTGGGGAATCGGATGCGTGAACGATAATGGCAGTGCGCGTAGGTGACGCTAGTAGCAAAACGCTCATGCAAGAGCCTATCGCTCGGTCGAGAGCTTGCAACAGCAAGATAGAGGCCGTAAACACGCTGACTCCGAATCTCGATCGGAATGATTCGGCTAGGAAAGTCGAGAGCCTGCTAGACATGGATCTAAGAATCTATGGATGTAGTTTAAAATGATTTTTTAGGCAAGGGAGTTGGCTAATTTGCGGTAAGGGGAATGAGAGCGCTCTCCTTTTTTATTTGCTGATTGTTTCTACAATAAGACACCATCTACTTTTCAATGAATGTAACTGAAGATGTCAGAAGTTTGTGTGATATATAGAGCAGGTTCCACTTAACGCTCACAACGACGCGAGCGTCATTCTATCTTTGTTTCTTGCTAGATGTTAAATAAAGACAGAGAGCTTGGTATCGTTAAACGGAACCTGCCCATTGTCCATCGAAACAATTTCTCAAAGACGCTAAATAGGTTCGTATTTTGAGTTTTCAACCATCGAACATCGTTCTATTGAGTTTAGAAATTTTACAATTTGTAAATTTTTACAATTTTTAATAAAAAAATGTCAAAATAGATTTTCTGCAGGATTAAAGGGCATTTTTTTTTTTCTACGAGTTATCATAGTTATATTAAAACTTTTCGAAATGTAAAATACATTTTTTATGTTATTGTTACGCCCGTGTCTTGATGCCCGCGCTTTTAGCGCTCAGAACGTACAGCTAATTCTCTTGACAACAAGTCATAAACAACAGATGATCAGCGTTGACCGATAAACAACGGGTTTGAGAGATTCTCTCTGAGACGGTCGAGTCGCCGTAACATGCGCGTCGGTCTTTCGAGAGGGAGAGAGCTTGAGTCTGCGAGTTACGCGTGCTTCCTTGTAAATAGCAAATATAGTTGAAGTTGTTTTCCTTTTTACGTTGTCTCGTTTTATTTCCCCGCGCGAGCGTAACATTATATTAAATATACGTCTACATTTTATAAAATTAATTATTAGAAGCAATTCATATTCCATACTTTAATTCGGAGGTTAGAGAATATAAAATATATCTACACTTGCGGGAATTATCGGGTATACGACGGAAACATCCAACAATATCCTGTTGTAGAAAGAGACAGCACTACACCTCCCTTATCGCGGATTTACCACCGGATCTGCTTTACACTCTATCCATAAATTCTTAGATCCATGCTGCTAGAGCACGGCGGAGATCGCGAACGCGCTGATCCCGGTATCTCGAGTGTGATTAGATGGTTAGTGCCAACAGCAGTCTGGCGGAGGCAATGAGCACACTCGTCCCAATTTCCAGATCGTCGCTCGTGTGAGGATCGGGCGTTCCTTGCTCGCTTGCTTTCGCTCGCTTGTACGGTTTGCTCAAATCGCTCTCGTGCCGATTTGTTCGCGGCATGTGCTTTTATACGGTTTTCGCGTGGTCATCGGCGTTCTGTTGCTTAGCAACGCGATTTGTTAAATGAAGACGTACGCAATGTTTGCGTGGCCCGGTTGCGTTGTCTCAATGATTGTTGTTCGAAACGCCACGTCGTGAAATGTTTATATGGCACTTTCGCATTGGATACAGCCCGACGAGTGTTTGGTCGGGCCGTTTAGTGACGCTGCATCGCTGCACCGTCACAAACTAATAAAGTAATATAATACTTCCCGTAAAAGTTTATTTAAAATTAAATTTATAATATAATAAAAATTGTTATTATTACTAATTATAAACATAGTTACCGTACTTTAATCGTTATAACACACATACATACACACGTGCGCACGCGCACGCACACACATATGTACACATGCATATATATGTATATAGATATATTTTAATTTTTTCAAATGTGTTTTTAAAAAGTTATGCATATAGTTACAGAGTGGTAGTTCAGGACTAGTACAATGTGCTCAATCGTTAAGCGTGGGTGTCAGTAACACGAGTGGAGATGGAAACAGTAACAATAGCGGCAATAGTAGTGGAAATAGCGACAGAAGAAGAAGGACTGGTCTTAGCACTGTTATGCAGCGGCCAGGTATAACATAGTCAACATTTGAATTGTCCTTATTTTTTTATGCAATTAATGATTAGAGTCGCACGATTTATAAGTATATATACATGTATATGTATAGTGCTTTCTATATAATATTTATATGTTTGTATATTTGATATATGCTTAATATTTTATTTATACTATTGACAATTTTATCATCGTAAATAATATATATCGGTTTTAAATTTAAAAATTTAATAATAAAAAATTTTTATTATCGGATACTGTAGGATTTCTATGCTAATTAAGTTTTTTAATTATTTTTTATATAAATATAAACTGTAATTTTGGTTTGGTTCTGTTAATATGTAACTTTTAATATTAATATTTTGTTCTAAATGTTTTCGATAACAAAAACTTTGTGCTTTGGATAATTTAAATGTTCATTATATTGACACAATTTTATTATTTTATTTATATTTTTTAAATAGCTGATGATATATACCAGAATAAAAAATATATTACTAAAATATTTTATATAAGTACTTATAAGCTTTTCACATATTTTATTTGACTATATATTGCTCTTTTCGCTTTGATATAAAATAAATAAGATGATAATATGACTATCATTATATTTATGTATTTAACTTCAATACCACACCGCGTGTGGTATCGAATCTTTTAATTTAATATTTATTTGATTAAATTCGCAAGCTTTTGTACGTTTATGTTGTAATCTCTATTATTATATTTAAACCCTCATTTTTTAACATTTATACAGTGTTTTATTTTCTTTTTGATTTTGCATGTTTTTTGTGTCTACTGCACTTCCGTTCCTTCCGTTGGTTGGTAATATGCATGTAGTTATAAACCAAGAACTGGTAATGGAGGTAGAAGCTAGGATGAATAGAGCTTATCTACCGCCACGGCTGTTACCAACTCACCTTAGAGGACCACTTCCACACCACAGGAAATCTTCATTATATCATACTAGTACTGGTAATTTTTTGTACTTTTGTTAATTTGATTTTTTGCATTTTGTATAATTGAAAAATGATTATGATTAGATATATACTTGCTTCATATTATTAAAAATGACAATAATATTTTACTTCCTTTCTTCTTCATATAGGATGTCGCAGAATTCGAGACCATAATTTTATGAAGAGATTTGTTAAGAGAATTAATTTTTCCTCGGCAAAAATGTTAAAGCATGTATAATAATTTCTGAGATAGACAAATTTAATTTATTTCAAATAGATCTTCTATTTTAATTTGAGGTTGAGCTATAACCTTAATAACCTTAAATATCTTAAGAAAATATAATTGAGGTTAAGCAATATTATGTTAAAAATTGAAAATAACTTTTTTTGACATTATTTTTAAGGAAAAATTGTCACCATATTGTTTAGAAAACTTCTCAGTAACTTTAAAGTTACAAGTTTTAGGGCAATTTATATAGGATGATTCATTTTAAGTGATACCGGTTTTTCATTTAAACTAAATGTTTACATTTAAACTAAACAGTAAAAGTTTTCTGAAAAAAATGTTTTAAACGAAATGTTTATTATATTAAGCAATGTGTTAAGTGACTATCTTCATTTGATCTGAAGTATTATACAGAAGTCTGATGAAAAATTGTCGGTGTCACATAGAAATAGCACTTAAATTTCAAAGGCTTACTTCTTAAATTTTGGTTTTTCATTCGTATGCTTACAAGAGAATGACCAGGATTTGTCGCTGCCGATTTGAACGAGATTGGTATATGTAGTAATACTACTTTTCTGTGAATGAATAATAAAGCTATTAGATGTAGTCTCATCTTATTAAATGTAACTTTCAAGCATTCGCAAGAAAAAAAAACGTTTAAAGTCTTTAGTTTAAAGTTGATACGTCTGTAACGATTAACAATGACGTTACTAGTTAGCATCCGTAGCAGATACTTCTTGTCACAGATTCGAGTCTTGTTTTTTTTTTATCCACATTCATAAAGATGTGATCGTGCAACATAATTTAACAAGAAAATTTTTATTTTAGGATATATTTATTCATTATATACTTATATATATTGTTCCGTCCCGAGGTACCCCGGAACTCCCTCCTCCCCCTGTTTTCTTTATCGCCCTTCTTTTTCGCTCTCCCTTCCCTACACTCTTCTTTCATCCCGGTAGTCACTTGTTGACATTGTACCGGGGCTGTTTCTGCGTCCAAAATCAATTATAATGTTAGTTTGTAGTCCTGACCGTATTGTTGTGATATTTTGTTTCATTAAAATAATTCACACCTTTTACTTACCTCTTTTCGAGCTTATTAAATTTAATTAAATAAGATCCGGCAGTCACTGCCGCCGAATAGCAGAAGTATCCTTACGCAGACTGACCACCGAATTTTACTACAGTATTTTTATAATATTATAATTATATATTTTTATAATTTTCATACAGTAACAGAAATGAGGGGAGTTATGAGATTTTCTGTGAATGATAAAGTGACACGGGGATCAGGCTTTTGCACACTGATAAGTCACGGAGCTTTCAAGGCTGATCCTTGAAGAGATTCTTATTTTGCTTAAAATTTGGTGGTCAGTCTGCGTAACGATACTTCCGCTATTCGGCGGCAGCGACTATGGATCTTATTTAATTAAATTTGATAAGCTCGAAAAAAGGTAAGTAAAAGGTGTGAATTATTTTAATGAAACAAAATATCACAACGATACGGTCGGGACTACAAATTAACTTTATAATTGATTTTGGAAGCAGAAACGGCCACGGTACAATGTCAAAAGCGACTACCGGGATGAAAGAAGAACGTAGAGAAGGGAGACCGAAAAAGAACAACAATAAAGAAAATAGGGGGAGGAGGGAGTTCCGGGGTACCTCGGAACGTAACAATATAATACAGGATGTCCCATTTTAAAGTTTCCATTAGATTATTTTTTTAGGAAAGCATTTAAGGAAAACATATTTTTAACAAAAATTGTATGGTTTGGAAGAGGACATAAGATGATATCATTGACTTGACTTCTGATAGTCTTTTGAAGGTCACATGAAGGTCACATGAAGGTCACCTTCAATTTCTTAAGTGGAAACTCCTATTTTTTATTGTATATTCTTATTGTTTACCTCGAGAACTTTTCAAAACACTATAATAAAATATTTTTGCATTAAGTATTTTTCGAGTTATAAGGCTTGAAAATTGCAGTATAAGTGAAATGATAACAACAATGTGTCTGTATTAATCGTTTTAACGGCAATAAATTATAAACTTTAGAACGCTGTAACTCAGTCTAAAATGATGCAATTTCGAAAATAAAAAAAAAAACGTATTCATCTCATTGCTAGCTACAAGTTTTACTTCGAGAAAAATTTGACGTCTATTTAAAAAAATGATTGCCATTATGAAATCTCGAAAGTGGTGCCATCTACATTTAAATTGATAATGTCATCATCTTTTCCCCTCGAAACTATAAAATTTTTGTCTAAAATATTTTTTTTTTATTTCTTTTTTTGAAGATATTCGCGTATATTAACTCTTTGCGCGCGAGAGGTGCCTCTCAGGCACCACTCGGATCGAGGCGGCAAATCGAGCGATAACGGTGTTTATTTAGATTTGGCCTAACGAATATCGCTTCACGAGTCTACTCCTAGCCTTCATGAAATAAGCGGGAGCAGCTAATTCCTCTCGAGTTGCTGGTTCACTCGAGCGAAAATGGCCTCGAGCGCAAAGGGTTAAATAAAATTTACCTTGTATGCACACATACACACACACACGCGCGCGCGCGCACACACCCACGCACGTGCGTCAGAGTGATTCATGCGATAGTTTTAATTTGACAGCAATTCGTAGTGACTGTGTTTGATGTTTTTCGATATAGTGAAAAAAAGAGTAATATCGATCTGTGATTCGCTTTTTATTTTTGGATGAAAAAACGTGCGAAAAAATAAAAAGTAGTTGGATGCCGCCAGATATTGGTTCAACAAATTCAAATGATGTCGTTCATCTGTTTTTTATGAGGACCTCTTAGGCCGAGGAGCCGTCCCGCAGACGCGGTTACTGATATATATA